CTTAAATATATCAATGGGATGGAGTTAGAGGGGGTGAATTAGAAGGCCTTAGCATCAGTTTTAAGAAATGTTTAGTTCTGTTGCTGCCAGGATGATGCTTAATGTCATGTTGTTATCCAGACATTATTCTGCTTTGGCATAGTGCTGATATCGTGGCCTTGCAGCATTGGCAGTAGAAACCTCCTTTCACATTGATCTGGACGGAGCATGAGGTGATAACGGCGAGTCCATGTAACTGGGCAAAGCACAGAAAAGTCTCCATCCAAACCAGCAATTAGTGGTGCATGAGTGGGAGAGGTGGATGCTGCTATAGCAGTGTCTCCTAACCTTGGGTGACTCAGGTGTTCTTGGACTGCAACTCGCAGAAGCCTTCATCACTAGCATTCTGGGAGTTAGAGTCCAAGAATACCTGGGTTACCCAAGGTTGGCAACCATTTTGCTACAGAATGGAGGCAGAGAAGACTAAACATTGGGAATTAACCTGAGAATGTAACTTGTTACTTTGAACATTTGAAACTCCAAATGTTTAAATCATTAAATTAAAGTACCAATATGTTAATTAAAACATTAATTTGTGTACTGTCTCTAAACAGCATAGGTCACTCCTTACCTGACCTATATATATAGTATATCCACTGTAAATTATTCAAGGTCAGAATCCTGAACCTTGTTTGCCAGGTTCAAAGCCTCACTGACTTTATCTAAAATATTCAGAATTCAGAAGTTCAACATTAAGAAGTTGAAGATTGGGCCTTTCATTTATTTTAATATTTATATTCTGCCCAGTAGTTAATATCCTATGTCACATTTTGTGGTGTGTATTATAGTGAACAAGCTGCCTAATCCATTGTTTGGTAAACACTGAAAATATCTCAGCTGTGTGGTATGGAAAAAGAACATAATATGGGGGATACTGGGAGTAGAAATTATTTACTTTACCATCTGCACTGTGGTCTAACCACTAATTCTGCCTTAATTCTGTTTGTGACATAAGCGTTTGAGCAACTTAAAGTCTTATGTTATCTGAGTAATAGATGCAATTTAGACACTTTTTGATGAGTTGAGATTTGCATATTGTTGTTTTGTGCTGTGAAGTCACCTTCGACTTAATGGTGACGGAATGAGTGTGTGACTTCCAAAATGTCTTTTCCTCAACAGCCCTGCTCAACACTTATAAAGCCAAGTCTGTGGCTTCCTTAGGGAGTCAATTTACCTCATTTTTGATCTTGCCACAACCAACTTTTCTAACATTATTCTCTTTTCCAGTGAAACTTGCCTTCTCATGATCTATCCAAAGTATGACAGTCTCAGTCCCATCATTTTTGCTTCTAGAGAAAGGTCAGGCTTGATCTAGGGCCCACCTATTTGTTTTTCTGGCAGTCCAGAGTATCCACAAGACTCTCATCCAATATCATATTTCAAATTAATCATTTTTCCCTGTCAGCTTTCTTCCCTGTCCAGCTTTCACATCTATACATAGTAATAAGGAATACAATCATGTGGGTTATCTTGGCCCTTGTCTCTAGTGACACATTTTTACACTTGATGATTTCTCCTGTTCCTTTGTTGTTGTCCTTCCAAGTCTTCTTTATAGTTCTTCAGTATATTTCTGTTGGAGTTTTTGCAACTTTGCAGGCTGCCTGTGATTTGAGCAACTGGGAGGGATCTTTCTGCATTGACTATCAATCTATATATAATACTAGCCAATTTTTCCTTCCCACCTCTGAATGCAAAGAGAGCCCCACCTCTCTGCTGCATGCTCTTTTCCCCTCTCTTTAGTCTGTTGGAAATCAGTTGTTTCTTTGTTTCCTGTTGATCTGTTCCCAACTGTAAGTAATGAAACATTGTTATTATTTACAAAGATCCCAGAGTGATTGAGATTGTAAGTGCTAGTTGATGAGAACGATATAGACTGTCTGAGGAACCTGAAGCTATTCTCCTTCTATGGGTCTCTGTACTTTTATGGTATAGGAAAATTTTAACCAGAAATTTAAAATTCTACAACAGTTTCCACCTTCGCTTTATTTTATCCTGGCCCGCTTATGTGTTTCTCTGCTGGTCTTTCAACGTTCCTAATCTAATTTTAAATTTCTTTTCCATTCTTGGATCTTCTAGAAGAGATCTCTTGTTTTTAACTCTTTTGTTGTTATCCTCTATTTTTCTGCACTGGCCATTGTAATATTTCTCTTTGTCTCTATGGAATAATCACTAAAAAGTTGCATTTGGGATTCTGATCCTACTCATGTTATCTTCTACTTTTACTTCTCACTTGTTCTTAATAATTTCAACTATTTCCTTCCATGTCCTGCTTAGGTGATATGAATTTATGCCGCCCCATGACAGTGGCTGAAATTCTGTTGTTTAGCATGGCCAGTCACACTAGAGTAGGGCCATTGGATCACTGGGAATTTAGTATAAATCAATCCAAGTTCCACTTTTTCAAACAGGCCTACTCTGATTGTGCCAAAGTAAGTGACAACTGGAGTAGATCCATTTGAATCAATGGAACGTTTGGAGGAATTGACTTACCACATCCCCACTGATTCAATGGGCTTACTTGAGTATGACTTACTGTGCTAAGCAACAGGATCTCAGGCTGAACTCTCAAGCATCGTTGCCTGGGAACAAGACCTGCTTAATACAAGACAGGCTTCGTTCTGAGTAAATATTAATAGTATCAGGGCTGCAAGGTTATGTAGAATATTATCACTGTGTTTATCATTTATCCTGGGAATCCTGTTAAACAAACAGAGAAATACAAATACTGTGTATAAACAGTGTATTTGGTAATCATGGTAATAGATGCTGATAATTAGTGCTGATTTACATGCAAATACAGTGTGCAGTGATATAGTTGGATGGTTCTTGGGGGGGGGAGTAGCTAAAATTAGAACATAATCATTCCTCTTGGTGAATAAGAGATATTCCCACAACATGCCACTAATTATACTTTTGAACAAACGACTATTTCTTCACAGGTCCCTTTTTTTAAAGACAGGGAGAATGGCTGGGCACATGAGAAGAGTGGAAAGTATCCATGTGGCCAGCTGCAGGGGTCTTGATTCTCACCATGTCCCTTCAGGAGCTACGACTCTTCAGGAGGGAGGATGCTAGATGATTGAACAAGCATCCTACTACCTGAGAAGGGAGACCTTTGAAACTGCAGATTGGGTTGGCAGACGGCTGTGTCAAGGTTTAATTTTTTTGTGTAAAGAGTGTTAAAAAATTTAAGGGGTGTAAGGAAGAAACAGATCTGAAGATAAAAGTGCTTTTAAAAATTGAGACTTGAATAATAGTTTACTATATTCATTTCAAAACAAGCGGCTAGTACAACCACACAAGGTCTCTGAAGAAAAACATCTCCTGAAAGTTGAAACTGTTTGCTATAATAAGCTTGTTTATGTTATCAGGAAATGGTTTATGTTACACTGTGTGATCATGAAGAAGCATTTCTAAATTTTATAGCGCAGTCTTTTGGTGATTGTAATTTTTTGAGCTCACAATGGTCTAGTGTTTCAGACTTTTAGAATGACAATACTCTTGTGATCTAGAATCTTGATATTTAGAAGGTCTTGCTGTCACAAAGGTTTGCAGTTACAGAACACTGGTGGTCCAAGCTTAGCAAAATGTTAGTGAAAGTGAAAAAGCGAAGTGTGCTTAGTGTGTTTCTTATATACTGCCCCATAGTGTTTAAAGCTCTCTCTGGGTTTATATATTTTTACTTTTAACAACTTTGATATTTACCCATGCTGTTTAATGTGCCTTTTAAAGGCTATAAACTCTTGCATTTTTAGAATGTAATTGAAACATTCTCACTGTTATTTTTAAATCTTAAAATATATGCTTCTGTATTTTGGATGGATTTCTATATTTTTTTGCCTACAGTTTCTCCATAGCTGTAAAACTTTTGTATTTTTTACAACTCTGAAATACTTTGCTTTGATCAGACATAGAAGAAATGTAGACAAATAAAGCTAAAAGCATTAGACAAGTTGATGTTGCTTGGAATTATTGCAACAATGAAAAGACTTATGCCTTGATTCTCAGATGATTAGCAATGACTGTTTGACTTCATTCTGGAATTAACCTTTTCTTTTTTTGTGATAATGACAGTTGTGATGAATACAGGCTTCTGATTCTCACCCTGGAGGTCTATAAAGTTTTGTAGGCCTCTTAGGCTGGATTCAGGCAGCCGTTTACTCAGTCTGATAGCTCACTGGTTCTTAACCTTTGTTACTCAGATGTTTTTGGACTGCAACTCCCAGAAGCCTTCACCATCAGCTCTGCTGACTGAGGTTTCTGGGAGTTGCAGTTCAAAAACACCTGAGCAACAAAGGTTAAGAACCACTGTGATAGCTGACCCAGTCTGTGACTGAAGATGAGAAGAATAAGTTTGTTGTTCCCTGTGTGAAGGTAAATCAAGGAAGAGTTTACCTTCCTTTCATACAGATATAATCACTGTTTTGAAGCCATTCCTTTCCAGTTGACAGCTGGTTGAGAAAGGTGAGCTTTGTAGGCACAAATCAGCCTGCTGGAACTATAAAACATCAATATATGTAACACCTGGCTTAAATCCAGAGGAGCTGATAGATAGGCAGGTGGGTTCAGCATAATAATAAATACGAATCTTTGAACTGTAGAGCTGGAAGTCCACTGAGAAAACAAGCTCCCAACCTCTGGCTCTGCAGCCAGATACATAAATTGCAGAGCTTTCCAGCATCTTGTCCTTCTTATCTTTCTCAAGTAACCAACTGGTGATATCAAAATTGCTGTACATACTCCTTTTTCACAGAAGTGAGGGCCACGGACCACAATTCCTGAAAATCAAGTTCTGATGAAAAAGTACCTTCACATACTAAGGGTCTAGACAGTTTTTTTTTAAAAAAACAACAAAGAACAGTGATACTTGGCTTTGAAAAATGCTCAATAGGTGTAAGGTATGGTGGACCGGAAATATGATGAACTCCCAAGAGTGGGGAGGGCTTTTGTATCTTTTCCCCCCAATTGGATGTCTTATACAAGTGCAGGAAGCGTAGAAGTCCCAAAGGGAGGGCATGTACAGTCCTTGGATCTCTGAAAGTTGTCCAGCTTTGCCATGAAGATTAGAAATAGAAGAATTTATTATAATGGCGTTTCATCCAAGGGATTTATTTTCTTTCTCTCTCTCTTTCTTTTCCTTCCTTCTTGCCTTCATCAGAAATATAGAAATACCTTTAAGCCATCCCACTGCTTCTTTGCTAAAACAGGGCAGCTTCCAACAATTAATAAGTAAAATTTATTTATTTATTTAAAATAATTGAAATATTATAGATGAACAATAAGAACAACAGGAAACAGTCATGCTAGGGGCTGTCAATTTTATTAATACATATTTTCTTTCTCTTGCCATAAAACAAGGGTCTCCAAACTATGGCCTGAGGGCTACATTCGGTCCACCTTGCCATTTTATCCGGCCTGTTCCCTTCCAGCCTGTGTGCATATGTGCATGGGTGGGTGGGCAAACAGGGAGGGGGTGCATGCTTGCGGGGTGTGTGTGTGTGCATGGGGCATATGGGGGGTACGTCGGTGCGGGCGGGCATCCATGTGTACATGTTCCTGTTCCTTCAGCCTCAAAAATGTAGAAAATATCCAGTGTGGCCCTCGTGGTCAAAAGTTTGGAGAACCCTGCTTCAGATATTGCTGAACAGCAGCTCTCCTCAGCCCTAACAAGCACAGGTTATGGTGAAAGGAGATGAGAGCTGTGATTCAGAAAGACTTGGAAAGCTACATTTTGCCTACCTCTCCTCTAGAACAAAACACCAGGTTGCAAATGTCATAGATCTGAATTTCAGTAATGTGACTTGACTGTTCAAAGAAACTCTAAAAGTGGGTAGGGTATAAAATAATCAATAAAACAGTCAATTATAATCTAATCTAATCTAATCTAATCTAATCTAATCTAATCTAATCTAATCTAAATGAATGGACCCTGAGTTGGTAGAGAATAGAGTAAAATTATACAATTTTTCAACAGCTTGCTGCCAATCTTCAGAGCAAAACTTAAAGAAAACCAGCACATTGTGTGTGGATGTGTGTGTGTGCGGATGCACACATTCATGCTGTGAGGATGTTGCTTTTCCCTTCAACTTGTCACATGCTGAAAGAAAGAAGAGAAGAAATGCCTGTTAGATGGGAATTTTCCTTATATAACATTTGTGGCTCTACTTGGCCCATTTGCATTGTCTGAAGCTGTAATTTTCCCATGGTAATGCAGATTGGTAAGTATATTATCTGGGATGCAGAAGAGATTTCCATCCTGTCCTGAAAGATCCTCTGCAAGTAAGAATGACAGAGGTGTATTACCTGACCAACTCTTACTACTCTAGTACACAGATATAAAATAAGAGGTCTGTTGAATGTCAGGGCATATAAATGAGGGTTGCCCCTTGTCTCTTGTGTTGTGCTTTTCCAATTCAAGCCATTCACATGCGACCAAATGCCATAAGGTCATTCCGATGATTGTCCTCAAAACGTCCGTGAAAGCATGAAGGCAGAGCAGGATCATGCCTACTGGCCATGCCTTCTCAATGATGTTGTCCTCAAAACGTCAGTGAAAGCATGAAGGCAGATGCCTACTGGCCATGCCTTCTCAATGATGATATGCCTGCTGGGCACACTCTCAGTGGGTACCCATTTGGCATTAGTGCAAAAGAGTGCACGAATCCCTCCACCTAATCAGAAGCCCTGCTTGGCCACGATTCTCAAGTGGGTAATGCAGGCCTTCTCACACCTGCCAAAGGTGATGCAGCCAGAAGGAATGCTGGAACTGGGTGTGCATGTGCTTTCTTAAGGCATTAGCAAATTCATGTAATGACCACTATAGAAGACCTGCAAGATTAGAAAAGTGCACGCTTAATAATGCAATCGATAATAGAGGCTGACTAAATAAGACACGGCTTCCGCATTCAGAAGCAGTGCTCCCCTCCCCAGCCACTAACTGTAATCACTTGCATCTTTTGGGATGCTTACATTTTTGTAATGAATGTCAAAAAGAAATAATTAGAAAAAGTAGTAGTTTAATGATGAAAAACTGCAACCTTTTGGCACAATCTATGGTGATGGGTGATGGAGGCATCAACAAGGTAATTTAGAAAGTAGGTAAAATTCATGTAGAAAGGAATAATGAGATGACCCAAGTAAGAAGGTCATATTCATTAATAACCACTGGCAATTTCTGTTCTAGGTGAAGATATTGATAGTAAAGATGCGTAGGCTCAGTTTATAAATGCAGCTTAATTAATTTTGTACTGATCTGACAGCTAATTAATGTTTCTAGTGTTCTCCTAAGCATAGTGATACTCTGAAATTCTGAACAATGATCCCAGTTAACCAGCTGTTGGCCAGAAAGCAAAGCCATACAAAAGGATAAATGCATACATGGGACCCTGTTGTCTAAAAAGAACAAGCAATTTCTCTTGGCTAATGTATGCTTGTTTTCTTAAAATGGAACAACATGATCATGCACTGGCTTATATACGCAGCTGTAGTTTTCACAACCTATTATGTGATTATCGTTATAACCTGTCAAGCCACTTCTGACCCTAACTGGGTTTTTGGGATATGCGAGATGTTCAAGGAGTGGTTTAATATTGTCAACTCTGGTGCATTTTTATGGCTGACCAGGGATTTGAACCCAGGGCTCCTAAATCCTGGTCCAACATTCTACCCACTATACCTCATTGGCTATGGATTTTACGACGTTGTATGATGACTGACATTCAGAATGCTATTATGGAAACTACCAAAGAGAAGAGTTTGCAAAAAAAAAGGGGGGGGGAATTGCAGCCCACATGACAATAGCAACTGCCCAAACAGAGCAAGTAAACACAGAATCTGAAAATATAGCAAAACATAGAAATGATACTCACACTGGTAAGAGTATTGGCCAAGATGTCAAGGTGAAAGATATCTTGAGAATAGTTTAATGATTCTACACTTAACAACAGGATTTCAGCCTCAGTGTTTGACAAGTAACTTCTTATTGCTACTTGTTTTAATTCTTGTTACATTTGTGCTGCACATTAATAGCTTTTGTTACTTTTTTGCTAATGTGGGAACATCCTTAACGAGTGATTAGGAGAATACTGTAGCATAAACCAACATTTCCTGTCAAAATGTGTCTAAAATGTCTTTAATGCAAGTCTTAGAAGGTCACTTTCTAAAATAACCAGAAAACATTATTAACTATAAAGAAACTTTATTCCTTTTTGGCAATGTAACATTGTTATCTTGGTTACCTGCAATAGTAACTAGTTGGCAGTAACAATGTAACTTGTTGGTCTAGCAGAGTTTGGTTAAAAACCTGTTGCTAGGTGTAGCAAGTCACAACTAGAGTAGACTTGTTTGAAAATAACTGAGGATTTGGTAAGTCAAGTCCTCTATGTTCCATTGATTCAATGGGCCTACTCTACTTGTGACTTACTATGCTAAGTACCATATTTTTCCGTGTTTAAGATGATAGTAAAGGTAAAGGTTCCCCTTGACAATTTTTGTCCAGTCGTGTTCAACTCTAGGGGGCGGTGCTCATCCCCGTTTCCAAGCCGTAGAGCCAGCGTTTGTCCGAAGACAATCTTCCGTGGTCACATGGCCAGTGCGACTTAGACATGGAATGCCGTTACCTTCCCACTGAGATGGTCCCTATTTATCTACTTGCATTTGCATGCTTTCGAACCGCTAGGTTGGCGGGAGCTGGGACAAGCGGCGGGAGCTCACTCCGTCGCATGGATTTGATCTTACGACTGCTTGGTCTTCTGACCCTGCAGCACAGGCTTCTGCAGTTTAGCCCACAGCGCTACCACGTCCCTCGTTTAAGATGATACTTTTGTCTAAAATCTTTAGACTATAAATTGAGGGTTGTCTTATACACGGAAGTAGGCCAAGGAGAGAACTGCGTGATTGTAAAACTGCCGCTACCTTGTCTCTGCAAACAGGCTTCCTTCAATCATTAGGCTTAGCTGCCTCCAATCATGAGGCTTAGCTTCCTACAGTCACAAGACTTAGCTTCCTCCAGTCATGAGCCTTATGTAACTGACATCAGCTGATGCTGAACAGACCAATTGAACAGACCTCTTTGGAGGTGGAGTGTGTAGGCAGTGCTCAGATGCAACAGGGACTGGTAATGTTGGAGCGTTCTGAGGGTGAATAAAACAATATGCTCAAAGCTAAGTGTGATGCATAATATGACAGTACTGCTATGTAAATGTTACCTAATTACTAAATAAAAATGTGTTCTGTTTTATGTTTAAAACATTGATTTCTTAATTTTGGGTTGGAAAAGTGGAAGGCATTTTATACATGGGGGAATCTTATACACGGAAAAATAAGGAATAGGATTTCAGCCTTTATGTCTGCATTGCTAAGGCAATGCAGACATAAAATATCAGCAAATAAGATTTGGCAGCATGCTCAGATTCCCACGTATGTTGTGAGATCACCTTACAGGTTTCTCTCCTGTTGCCTTAACTATGTGCATATTTGCTAAGACACTAAAAATGAGTAACATGGAAGACCTGAAAAATACATGAAATTGTTTTGTACTGATCAATTCAGCCATTCAAATTTTCTCTGAATGGGACCAATCTATCTGAACTTTTCTGAATGCTGGGAACTGAATTTGGGACTTTTCTTACATAAACTCCGACATTAACATATGGCTTGTCCATAAACAGGACAAAGCCCAAACATTATTGAGTTCTAGGACAATATTTCACCCATGTTCACTACTTCGTTGCATGATTTTGGGCAAACCATTGACTCACTCAGTGGTGCTCCCTCCCTTCAGAACTTTCTTCCTCAGCTGGATTTGAGAAGCAGAAATTGTGTTTCTCTCTAGCTATGCCCCTTTTTTGCTATGGCTTTTAGGCCTTTTGCTGCTGCAAGAACAGAAATTTAATAATCCATGTTTTCGCAGAATGGAGAGGCAGTGATGTTGGAACTTCCTCTCACTGATCTTCTGCCTGTCACGAACCTGTTCAAAACATACAGAAGACCTGCCAGGACACAGTGTCAACTATCCTTCTTACACGTTTATAGATAAATGTCCCTTCTTATAGTGGACTCCACAGGTGACTAATGAGCAAGCTGCCAAAATGGAATGAAAACAAGACGCTAGCAAGGAAGTGAAAATCTAAGGATCTGCAGCCAAGCAATTAGGATAGTGCTTGTAATCGTTAAATTAGCAATTTTTCAAAGGGACTTGGTGCTATCCTGAATGGCTTTTAGGTAATGCTGAGAAGGCAGTTTGAAGGCGGGGAGATACTTAGGGACATATTTATTAAAGACCAGATACATTGATTGTCATAAGCCCCCATCATGTTCAAATAGCATCGTTTGCAAAGTTCTGTTTATACAATCCAGAATTGTTTTTATGTAGTCAGCACTTTGACTTTGTACTGTGCATTAATAAAACATAATGGACAGGAGCAACATTTATCATTACTACTGCTGTATTCTCCTCACGCTGATCCTAGACTAGTCTACATGAATTTCAGATTTCAGTCGATCCCAGTCTGTATCAACACAGATCTGAGTCTATATAAATTTCTGAAAACCTACAGAGGGCATTATTTTTGTTTCCTGCTGCAATGCTTCCTGGGCAGGGTAGTCCTTTGGAAGGCACCTTTTATACAGTCTAAAGGTCAGTGAGACTATCATGCCTATGAAGTACCACAACAGGAAATGAGGCCTAGAATGCTATCCAACCTTGGAGGTCTAGGCCTGCCTATAGGTGAGTGAAATACAGATGTCTGTAGGTATACATCTGGGATCTGGAAATAATAACAATAACAAAAACGACAGACATTCAACGGCCATGAGTCCTCTATAAAAAAGGAGGAGGAGAATATGGTGTTCCCCCAGAAAAGAAAGAGGAAGTTTATGTTTTCAAAAAGAAAAAGAAAAGTGAATTGGGCCGGAAGATGTTACCATTTATTTTCGAACGTTCTTGATTTTGGTGTCCTATATATTTGGGTGTCCTAGGCTGAAGCCCCAGTTATTCCACCCTAGTTACAGACCTGCTGACATTAATGGTAGCTTGAAAAATAATTATAACTATGTACAAAGTGCTCTGGGCACATCTTCCAGAACTACAGAAAAGCAGGCTTCCTGAATGCACAAGAAAAATACTCTTACCGTAGGTATCCTTAAATCCATGGGAATCTTTTCTTGTTCTTTCCCAAGGCTTTGTGCCAAAATAAGTGGCTTGAAGACAATCAACTTGCTAAACTTATAAAAAATTCTTCTGAAACATTAAATACTTCCGAAATACATCCTCTTGAAATAGATCACAATAAATATTGTGCAGTCTAGTGTGGTGACTACAGATTTTTTTTTAAAAAAATTAAATATCTGGGGGTAGGGGCAGATACCATCTATCTTCATAAACCAAACTATTTCCCTAGTTTGGCAGTAGCCTATGACTGTATAGGAAGGATGCCGTGAATTTGAAGAGGGTTCTGAAAAGATAAAGTGTGTGTGTGTGCAGTGGCGATGAACTTTACAAATATATACTCTTGAGATCTGGCACCAGGATGAGATTTTCAATGGGTTCTTAATTGGTGGAATCAATACTTATTTCCAGTGCATTAGGGAATCTGGGAGTTGCAGTCCAACAAAGCAATTTCCCAGGCTCTGCTTATTTCATAGTACAGTAGTTAATTAAATAATAAAATTCTATGAGGGCTGTGTTCCAAAACTAGTATTTCCACAGTGAAACAAAAAACAAAAGCATGTATATGTACCTGCTTTCCAAATGGACGGGAGTATACGACACCTTCAGCATTCAGACTGTCTTTTCCTCTGTTCACCGAACCTATTGAAGTGCATAAATACAAGGGGTTTGTTTTTAATTTGTTTGTTTGTTTTTGGTAAAACTAGTGCTTAGCTTATAGGTACTGAGGTTACAATTTTACAGTCGGGAAAATCAATCAGCACAGAGGTACAGATTATGTGGACTTTAAAACCTTAAACCAGGGATTGAGCATGTGAAACTTCCTAATGCTGTTGTATTACAATCCTCATCATCCCTCACCATTGGCTTGCTAGGTAGCGCAGTTGAGTACCACAATATCTCGAAGACCACATACTTCCTGCTTTATGCAATTCTCATATATCAAGGGCAAGCATATGTGGTGGGCCTTAGGGTTAACTTTCCATGCCTAGACCAAAGCACAGGTTATGCCAGGGACAGTGGAGGTGGGGTGGGAGAATAAACAGAAAGGTAGTGACTGGGCATTCCATCTTTTGATTTTTGTTGTTATTATGGTGGGTGTGCATATATCTTGGGGACCCTCTCCCAATCTCTGTAACATAACATATTTTAATTGTTGTAAGCCGCCCAGAGACCTTTGGGTAGTGTGGGCGGCATATAAATGAATGAATGAATGAATGAATGAATGAATGAATGAATGAATGAATGAATGAATAAATAAATAAATAAATAAATAAATAAATATCACCAGGAATAGGGACTCAAGTCATGAGATTCACTCTCAAGTTGGACTTAAGTTGCACTGGTGAATTGACTCAGACTCGATTCAAGTTTTGGTTTCATCACTCAGATTCAAGTTGCAACTTGGAACCCACCCACGCCTCCCTTTTTTTTCTGGGGAAAAATGCTTGGGACTTGGACTTGGGACCTGGTACCAAACACAGAGACTTGCCAACATTCCTGAAAACCACTGCTCTTTAAGATCTCCAAGAATGGCAATAGGCACTTTTATGGAAACAAATATTTTTGCTCTGGGTTTTTTTTTTTTTTTTGGAGGAGGGCTGTGTGGGCTGTAAAAATCATCCCTTGGGCTCCATACAGTCTCTGGACAGCTTTTTGCTAAATACAACCTTACCAGTGGATCCAGCTCTTCTAAAGGGGCTATTTTGTGATAAGTTGTACTCATTAAATGACAGATATTTGGTTCTCTTGGGGGTACACACTGCCTGTTGATTCTTTGCCATGAAGAGTTCGCCTGTGCCAAGTCCCTGTCCATCTTCAGAAGGCACATAAAAGTCTTTTGTTTAACAGAAAGTATTTATTTTGCCAGAGAGAGGCATGTACATTTCCTGCAGAGGTTGCCATGTTTTCCCCCTCCCTGCAATGATGCATTTGGAACAGTACTAAGTAATGGTCAGAGCTTGGAAACTGTAAAAGTAGTACTAAAATATTAGCATCAAATTGTTAATTCAAGCTAAATCACTGATCTTAAACCATTAAGAGTTGGTAATGTTTTAATTAACATATTAAATAGTTGAACTTTAAAATATCAGTTAAAAATTTTGAAACTGATAATAAGAGTTTAACCAAACAGGTAAAGGTAAAGGTTCCCATTGACATTTTAGTCAGTCATGTTCGACTCTAGTGCTCATCCCCATTTCCAAGTCGTAGAGCCAGCATTTGTCCGAAGACAGTTTCCATTGTCACGTGGCCAGCATGGCTATACTCGGAACACCGTTTTACCTTCCCATCAAGATGGTACCCATTTATCTACTCGCATTTACATGCTTTCCAACTGCTAGGTTGGCGAAAAGCTGGGACAAAGCGACGGGAGCTCACTCCGTTGCATGGATTCGATCTTACGAGTGCTAGTCTTCTGACCCTGCAGCACACATAGGCTTCTGCGGTTTAGCCTGCAGCGCCACCACGTCCCTCTTTAACCAATCAAGGAATGATATAATAGCATTGTCTGACAATTTAACAATCCTAATAATGTATTTGCTAAAAATCTAACTATTTAGGGCAACAGATGCATTTTAGCAAATTATTTTCAAGTTCTAATAGGGACGTAGTATTATTTTGTAAAGGGCATTCTTTATGGGGGGGTGGGGCAGCATAGAAGCTTTGCTCTCAATCTTTGCAAAGACAGTGAAACAATTTTTAATAAATCATTCTCATTGCCTGTTTTTGCAAGCCCTAACCCACAAAAGTCACTGAGAATTTGCATAAATCCTCACTCGGATCTACAATTTTAGGCAACCCACCCTGTCAACTGCATTTCAGGAAAAGGAGACTGAGCAGAAAAATCTTTGCATCAGTGCTAGAATGAATGAATGAATGAATGAATGAATGAATGAATGAATGAATGAATGAATGAATGAATGAATGAATGAATGAAACTGTATTGTCACTTAGTAACAAATTGTTAATTCCTGGAAAATTAATTGGGAGACAGTTTTTTTAAAACATAATTGCAGCTATAATTTATGAAATTATGTTGGTGTGACATACCTCCTGGATGATGAACAATGGTGATGTTGTCTGTTAGCAGAAAAAAATAATAAGAAAAATAAGAAGCAAAATTGTGGTAACAATTTTTTGGGGGGGCTTACTCTCCTCTCATTTGCCACTTGGAGTGTGTTCTCACTACAGCTACGTTCCAAACGTAGACTTTTTCCTTTGACTTTATCCATGACAATGACATGCCAAATTTTTTGGAGTTCAGCTTTTGTGGTGAACATTGCAATTTCAGTGATGATGGCAGGGGAGCTCCACAGCATTTTGAGGGTTCATCTGTGGGCTGCAGTCTTTGAAAACTGTAGCCTGCTGGCCAGGGATGCGTTTGGGTCAATCAAGTGACAATGTAGAAGAGTTTAGGGCAGGGGCTTCACTCCCCCTAAGAACCATTCTATATTTCATGGTTGACCATGGATAGCTCAGGAACTACATAATAGGCCACTTGGCAACTCCTTTTTTCTTTGCCCTACAATTTCCCCAATGCATTACACGGTTGAAATTTGGGGAACTGGTAACAAAAATATCATTAAACGAGACAATTCTGCCTTAAAACAAGAAGTGTAAACAGTATGTACCTTGTGCTGAAGCAAATTAACAAGACCAGATGTCTCCTGGAGGTATGAACTGAGTTCAAAATAAGGTGCATGCTCCTTATGTCTTTTGTTTTAAAGGCAAACAGCTTAATTTAATGCTGTTTTATTATATGTGGTGCCAAGGTATATGTAGCCCCAGATGGTTAACTAAGTGCACACCCATGACCTGTGGAAGTCACTCATCTCTGCTATAACATCTTTGGGAGGGCTAGTGCACACATTGATGTTGCTTACTCTAAACACAATGCTTCAAATATTACAAATTTGACTCCCAAAATACACAATCACAACTTGAAAGATATTTCCTGATTCCAATGCCTAAATGCTGTGATTGGTCATATGTCCACCCAAGCCAATTCTGACACAAGGTGATTTATCTTCCAGGTATAAATCACTCAGAAGTCTCTCCTTCTGGTGGTGCTCTGGGACCATGTATCTTGCCCAAGGTGGCACAGGTAGCAGGGCACTTAAGCCCAGTAGCCAAAAATGCTCCAGGTGACCTCAACTGTCTTCTCTCTGGGAGGCACAGTGGGGATTTGAGCTCTCAACTCTAGCTGGCACTCCAACTCACTGAGCTATTCCAGGTTTGCCTAAAACATTAGTATTTTGTATCCATTTTTAAAATTCAAAATATGGTGCATTTTGTGTTGCTCTGTCAAACAAAAGGATGCCTTCAGCCTGGGCAAGTACCCATAAGATGATGGGCAAACTACAGAAGGTTTTCTATGGATTTCAAAAAACTCTGGCTCAGATAATTTCTTATTCTTATTCCTTTCCTAACCAACCAAAATACAAGAAAAATGTAATTTACCAAGCGTGCTTTCCTCCTCTGGCCTTTCTCTGATAATAGAGTCTCTGAGCTGGCATATTTTTTCCTTAAGTAAGAAAGAAACACACAAACAACAACAAAAATCAATGGCTGCTGCAGTTGATTGTTAAAAATAATGAATGAGTTGCTGGAGGAAAGGAGCTTTTTAATATTCTGCATACTTAAGCTTTTGGTAGAGGAAATGATTTTTAAACACATGGGGAAAAACTCTCTTTCATTTTGTAGGAAAATCCTTGTATTTCAACAATTGATACCAAAGAATCTATGGAAAATTTTCTACAAGACCAAATTCAATATCACTGTCACAGCCACCCACTTCTCAAGGCTAGAAAGGAAATTATCATCATCCATACACAGAACGGTTTTGATCCTCCCTGCCTCCATCAGAGGAAAGTCTTTTATAACCATAATGGGCTAGCAGGAAGAATCTATTCTGACTATTTAAGTTGTGCTCCCTGATCACATTTATACAGTTGCCTGACAGGCACAGCCTGGAAAAGTTGCTTTCATGAAGTCAAATTCTCAAAATCCCCTTGCCTGTCAGAAGCCATGCTGACTGGTGGGTTCCGGGACTTGTAGCCTAAGAAAGCAGCTTCATTGGGCTCTATTTACATGAAAGAGAAAGGAGCTTTTGGTAAACAAAAGGATCAAAATTTGGAATCTTCCCAAAGCAAATGGTTTTTGTGAACAAATCACTGTCTGTGACTATATACGTCTGTACATGCAATGTGGCTGGAGAATTCTCGAAGTGCTTTCAGGTATTCAGATTGCTTCATTTGCTATCAGAGTTATTATCTCCTGTATTATAAACATTAGTAATAATAAGAATTACAGTGATCATAAGTAACAATTCCAGATGGGGGCTTTCATGCTTGATCCCTGCATTTAGACACAGGGACTATCTTGAAATAGATACCATAATCAATGCAGATGGCACGAGAACCAGGGCAGAAAGATAAGGCCAAAATCCAATCTTGAAAACCCATGCACTTATGCACAACCCTTCTGGCAGTCTGCTTTTCACCCATCCAAGTTGTGCATTCATTGTACCACCGCTTGTCCAAAGGACAGCTGCTAGAACGGAAGCAATGCTTACCTGGTCGTCTTTACATGATCACATGGACGAATAGGATTCTGGTTCAGAATGGATAATGTGAAACCCCAGATACAGGTTCAGTTCAGAAATTTTCAAATAAGGGTTGATGTCTCATGATCTGATTAATAGATCACTTCAACCTGAAGTCTACACTATTGAGACTCCTGCATGTGTACCATATGGTGCCCAAGAGTTTGCTTTTCTCCTCAGGCAGCCAGCTTAGAAGAAAATACAGTGTTTTCTTATAGTCAACTTCCTCATGACATCAAAACAGGGACACTCTCATTAAAGGGTCAAACCAGGATCTGAATTCAGGATCTAGTTGTAGTTTCGCAACCAAGTCTGGAGAAAAACATTTCAATCAGTGATTCTGCATCAATGGTACCCTTAGACATGCCCATTTGAAAATAAAGTCTGGTGCATACATGCAAACGAAACTGGTAAGATTTCTACCTGCTTGGTGGCTCCTAATCCACTTCTAAGACTCTGCCATTGTTTGAATTTCTCCACAGCTTCATCCATAGAAATGATGCCCTTCTTCACTTGCTCCTGAAGTAAGATTAGTTCGTCTTGCCCTGGCGGGATGTCCAGCTTGATAGTAGTATATGTTGTCCTGTCACCATAAACTCTGTCTGCAAGTAGAAAATTCAAAGATCAGGACCATGGCAAGATCATGCTCTGAGCTGTACTGAGATACCCATCCCAGAAATATCAAAAATGGGCAGAGGAGATGGGAAGATTCCACAAAGGATTATGTGACAAACCTTTCCTTCTGGAATTCATCCAATCTTCTCCTATCTACTTTATTCTGTAAATCATTCAGATATAGTTGATCATGAGAAGCAGTGAAGTATAATGCACATCAGCTGATAGCACAACAGACTGAGGCTGGCATGGCACAGGTGGGCACAAATCTCTATTCAGACACAAAGCTCACTGGAAAAGGTGTGATGATCAGCCACGAGGAGCAGTCATTCATAGCAACATCTCCAGAGAGATGCTGAAAAGTGCAGTTCTAGAAACAAACCAGTTCAGGTGGCTTTCATCTCCACAATGAGCCTGTATTCTGTAAAGCTAATGGGTCTTAAACTGGCTATTAAAAGAAAAGAGACTCCAAAATATATTGCATTATAACTAGAACAGCAGTCAACCATATGTAGCTGCTGAGGAATCAGATTCTTACTCGATTGCTATGAGATGCCTCCAGGGTTGGAAGATGGTGTCATTGTCCCCACAATTCAAAAGGCCCTGCTGTTTATTTGTCCTGGATTCAACACTAGAAGCATCTTATCCAATTGCTATTTCTCATTCTCACCTGTTTCACAGATTGTTGTGAAGATAAAACTGGATGTTACTTAGACAAAAAGGAGAGGATACAAATGAAATAAGCAAAGAAGAGAGTTGAGAGGGATCTCGTAGGCCACCTAGTTCATGCCTTGTTCAGTAGAAAACCAACACTGGAGAATCCACAGCAGACTTCTGCCCAGTCTCTGCTTGAGGATGACCAGTGAGTCAAAGAGATGCTTCTGCTAGCAATACGTTGAGATCCTTCTGTGACTTGAAAGCATTAACCTAGTCCTGCTCTCTAGTTCAGGAGAGAACAAATCTTGTTGTATGTGATAAGCCTTCAGGTATTCATCCAATCATACCCTCCACAGACTACTGGTGGAACATAGTCCTTCTTTCAGCCTTGTCTCATATGGTGTCTTCGCCATATGCCCTTGTTATCTTTTCCTAAACCTGTTCCAATATGTCCATGTCAGCTCCCTCTAACCCGTTACCTTCCAGATCTGTTGAGTGCTCCGAACATCCCCAACTGCCATGGAGATACTCATAATCCAACATATTTGGAAACCACCAGTTTGAAGGCAGTTAACCTACACATCTGAAGAGCACCAACCTAGCAAAGTAAGGTTGTCTACTCTGCAGAGCATGGCAAAGATAGGGGAAACTGTTGCTTCATCCTGCCTTTTCAGGTGCTGGGGCTATTTTGGGAACGTGTTTCAGTACCTTGGACAGTTCCTGTAATTCTGAACTAAAGCCAAGAGCTTTTCACTGCCCCCATGAAACTGGAGCCATCAACCTCCATGGATGAAAGGACAGCATATGCAACTTCTTAATTCTTTTTTTTTTAAGTACCAGAGGCCAGGAAAGGAACAAATTAACTTGGCCATCTATGCATATGTTATATGAAGCTTGATTGATAGTGGGCAACATTTGCTCCTTTCCCTCAGGCTGCACCATGCCTTGAGTCAACCCTGGTTACAAACAGGCCTTATATGTACTATCAGAATTCTGTATCCCACCTGGTAGGTTATTCAGTGATATGGCACATCTTTCCACAAGTCTTTCCTTCTCTTTGTCTGTTTAGCTGGGTCAATATGGCTCTCCTCTGGAATAACAGGAACCTTTAACTTACTAAGATGATTTTTGCTCTTTTTGATGTTGATTTAATGAGCTGAATGCTGCCCATAGAGCTGAGTAAGAAACCAATATCTGTCTTCAGTGTGGCGGGGGTGGGGTGGGGTGAAGAGGGGACAGGAATATCCTGGTAGGCGAAACATTCAGATTCATGGCCATTTGCCTGATTAATTCATCCTCCATTAAGTTTAGTTGGCATTGGCATTTCTATTGTGAGATAGCACTGTACCATTACCTAATTATGAAATTTAAGAGTGGAAGCCCTGACGCATTACATTAAAGCCAGCAATATTTTGGTTCATATGAAAAAAGGGGGGGGGGGAATAGGAAACACGGAATTATCAAGTTAGTGTCTCCATGCAACAAAAAATAATGTGCCTATCACACTTTTCCAATGATAAGGGCTGTTACACTTAAGTCACTCTTTGTATTCAGTGTATGTAATTTCACAATTCAGTGTATGTAATTTCACAATTGTGGATTTCACAGTTCACAAGTGGTGAAACCACCATAGGGGGAAAGCATTGCCTGGCCCTGCCTGTGGTACGGTTGGGTATAAATTCAAACTCAAAGAACTACAGTGGTGCCTTGCTACATGGTTACCCCACTTGATGAGGAAATAACTTTACGATGGGTTGAACGATGGTTCAAATGGGGCTTTTTCGCTGTACGACCACCCATGCCCTGCTTTAGAGCACTTTGGAGGCTTTTCCTGCACCTCTTTCTCCAACCTTCGGCAAGCCTTGGAGGGGAAAAATTTTCCTTTTCCCTTCCGAGGCTTGCCGAAGGCTGGAGGAAGAGGCAGGAACTTTAAAAATGGTTTTGGACAAACCTCTGCAAATGCCGATTGCTGCACAGAGGGACCCGCGTGAGTCCTCCCATGGTGCAAGGTAAGCCCCAGGGGGCCCCCAAAGCAGGGACGTGTGGTTTTGGGGCACCCCCACCAGGGTTCTGATGGTTTCCCCTGTACCATCAGACCTGGCTTCCCCTGCACCATCAGAGCCCTGGCGGGGGTGCCCCGAAACCACCTGCACCCACTTTAGAGTGCTTAGGAGGCTTTTCCTGCACCATCAGAGGACTGGCGGGGGACCTCCAAAGGTGGCGATCGCAGTGAGGGGACCCCCCACCAGTCCTCCCATGGTGCTTCCCCAGCCGCCTATCCTTTAAGTGCCTTTTAAAAAATTTTCCCCATAAAATGTATTAATTAATTTTCAATGCATTCCTATGGGAAATTTGGTTTCGCAAGATGATGTTTTCGCAATACAGCGATCTCCGCGGAACAGATTAACATCGTCTTGCGAGGCGCCACTGTACTTCTTTCCAAGCCAGGCTGTTCACTCGTAGTGCAGTAAGGATACATCTGTTTCCAAGCAGGAAACAGATGTAGCCTTACTACACTACAACTGAACAGCCCTCAAACCTCTGGAAGTTGGCTACCCTTGATATAGTACCCAACCTTGGGTGTCCAGATGTTCTTGGACTACAACTCCCAGAAGCCTTCACCACCACCTCTGCTGGCCAGGATTTCTGGGAGTTGAAGTCCAAGAACATTGGACCCGAGATTGGGGACCATTGATATAGAGGCTACGGCTAAAATCCTGTTGCTATGTTAAGCGAAAGGTGCAATGTTCAGTCATTCCTAGCTGGCAATTAAAGAGTCCTCAGTGGAATTCTCTAATGCACACCAAACCAGCGGATGCGTAGGCTCCCAAGATTCCCAGACGTGACTTCTTAATTGTTGGCCAGGAACAACAGAATGTTAAACCTTTTGCCTTCACATGCGTTACAAAGCAACAGGATGAAATCTGTGTTAGCCAAAAACACTCATTGGCATTACACATGCCTAGTTTTCACTTTCATTAACAGTAAGATCAGACATTAAAGTGGCAAGCTTATGTCACTTTTATGGGAGTAAACCAAAAAATGCTGCACAATTGCATAAGAAAGATTTCATGGCACTTGAAGACTGATTTGAGAAAATGACCTTTTCCTGATTTTTTTTTTATGTGCCAGTGTAATTAACATTAAGGTGACCAATTAACGAGTAAATAGGAATCTCTAAATGCCACCTAATTTTTTTGTAGAAGGAAATTATGTTTCCTCCATCCTAGTCACCCTGCACGCTTGTATTACTGCTCAGTCTTCTCTGGACCTTCAATACCAATGTATCCTGATTTGCTCCTGCTGTTTAAAAAATCTTGCATTAGGGCAAAGCAGATTTAACTAATGGTTACGTTTTCATATTTTATAGCACCCACTGGCTACAGATAGCACAGTAGAATGGAGAATCTGGCCAGCATATTAAACGTACATTGATTTCAGCTGGTGATGGATGTTTAGAAATTATTTGAATTTGTACAGCAATCACTTTGGACATTGTTGCACAGCAGTGTTAAACCAGGTATTTAATCATTTCCTAGGGAAATGTTGTAATATTGCTTGAAGGTTACAGTAAACTCAGTGCTCATAGAAATGGAACAAATAGTCCACTAGATTTTCTCCCCCAACAATTAAGAACTGCTGGACAACACTGTGCTTCAAGTATCTGACTGTGGAGCCCAAGGTTGGGAGTTCAATTCCCCACTGTGCCTCCTAGAGGGCCTAGACTCAATGATCCATAGGTTCCCTTCCAGCTCTGCAGTTATAAGGTTGTGATGATGATGATAAAATACATATAAGTACATCAATTTTTCCCCTTCATGGATTGCTGTCTTGTCGTGGCGAAGGGGCTTGAGTAACTCAGAGAAGCTATGGGCTATGCCGTGCAGGGACACCCAAGACGGACAGGTCATAGTGGAGAGTTCTGACTAAACGCGATCCACCTGGAGCAGGAATGGGCAAGCTACTCCAGTATCTTTGCCAAGAAAACTTTCATGGACAGAAACAAAAGGCTAAAATATATGACACTGGAAGATAAGCCTCTCAGGTTGGAAGGCGTCCAACATGCTACTGAGGAAGAGTGGAAGACAATTACAAGTAGTTCCAGAGCTAATGAAGTGGTTGGGCCAA